TCTCTTGGAACGCGGGTCGCAGGAGCGCACCGTCGGTGAGACCAACATGAACTCGACGAGTTCGCGGTCACACGCTATCTTTTCGATCATGCTAGAGCAATACGTGCTGGCCAAGGACAGCACGGTCGAGTGCAAAATGTCGAAGCTGCATCTCGTCGACTTGGCGGGTACCTACGCTCTCCACCGATTCTTTCACAATTTCCATCACCGCTGACGCTTTGTGTCCAGGTTCGGAGCGGCAAAAGCGCACGGGTGCCGACGGCGTGCGGTTCAAGGAATCCATTAAGATCAACTCGGGCCTGCTGGCGCTCGGCAACGTGATCAACGCGCTCGCATCGCGCACCGAGTCGACGCACGTGCGGTACCGCGACTCGAAACTGACACGGCTGTTGCAGGACAGTCTCGGCGGGAACAGTCGCACGATCATGATTGCCTGCGTCAGGTGCGCTACCGCTGCTCTTCCCTCACTCTGCCCGCGGATTGCCACTGATCAGTTCCTCCTTGTAGTCCCGTTGCGAGCAACGCGCAAGAATCGCTCAACACGCTCGTCTACGCGAACCGCGCCAAGAACATCAAGAACCGCCCCGTCCCCAACATCCAACCCGCCGACCCGCCACCCGCCGCACCCGCACCACCTTCCCTTCCCGACCCGCCCACCACTCACGACGATGACCCCTCCGCGCCGCACACTCCCACCGTCGCCCCCCACTCGCGGCGCCACTCGCAATGGACCCTCGCCGACGTCCCCGCGCCCGCGCCTCCCGCCCCCGCCGTCCTCCCACCGGTGCTCGACGGCCTCATGCAGCAGCTCACCACGGGTCTCGCGCACGCGCACGCACTTGTCAGCGACCTGCAGGGCACGAAAGCGCTCGCGCACGCCGTCGGCGCATACTTGCGCGCGGACCGCGCGCCGACGGCGTTTGCGAAACTCGCGGGCCTGTTGGCCGCGCACGACGTTGTCGTGCATGACGACCCGCTCTCCGCGCCCGCACCGGCGCCGGCACTGGCCGAATTGCCGCCGTTGCCAACGGCGACGTCGGCGCGACCGCCGTCGGTCGTCGCGGCACTCCCGCCCCCACCACCGCCGCAACCGCCCGGTGGAGATCGGCGCGCGACTCTCGCGCGGACCCGAAGTGCGCCCGCGGTCCGCGCACTCGCTGCTGCAACTGCGACGGCAGCGGGGACGGAATTTGACGCGCACGAGGCTGAGTGGCGGTACCGTAAACTCGAAGCCCAATTCTTCGACGCGACCGCGGCCAACGAGAAACTGCAAGTGCAGGTCACCGATTTGCGGTCGCAGGTCGACTCCAAATCCCGCGCGCTCGCGCACGTGCAGGCGCGTGTCAAGGAGGCCGAAGACCTCGTGCAGTACTACCGGGTCAAGGCCGACGAGGCCGAGATGCGCGTGAAGCGTCGCGAGAATGAGGTCGAGCAGTACCAGGCGGAGCTCGAGGAAGGGGCCGGGGAACTGGAGGCGGCGGCGCGGGAGATTGCGCGGTTGAAGGAGGAAATGAGGGGGTTGAGGGTGGTCGTAGCAGTGGAGAAGGTGGAGGTCGGGACGATGGTCGAGGATGGAGACGTGCCGACGAACGAGGCGGCGGAGGCGGGGGTCGCGGCGGAACTGGTCGGGATCGAGCAGGAGATGGAGCGCAAGTTGCAGATGATTCAAGAGCTTGATCAGAGCAGGCTGCGGTACGTATTTTGTCTTTTGTTTCAGGGGCGCTGGATATGTCGTAGACTCGTAGATCGAGATTGACGCGCAGATGCCTGGCTATAGGACCGACAACTTGTCGAAAAAGTTCCAGGACAAGATGACGAGGCTCGAGCGGGAGCTGCACGCGACGGAAAAGCTCGTCGAGAAGCTCAAGTCGGAAAAGCTCGACATGGACTCGGAAAAGAACAAGTTGCGGCATGACTACGAAACCAAGATTCGCGACATCACCGCGCAACTGCACGCGCTGCGCAGTCGGCAAAAGCAGCACGACAAGCTGCTGAAAGGTACGGCTCCTCTCTGCCCCTTCCACCTCATCTTCAACTGACCGGACTGTTGCCGTGAGTAGAAAAGGAGGCCAACGGCCGCCAAATCCAGGAACTGCAATCAGAAGTCGCGACGTTGCGCGACAAGGAGGCCGCGCTAAAGCGCAAGGCGAAGTCGGACACGGACAAGCTGGCCAGCGCCGAACACATTTACGCTAAGGAGATTGCGCAGTTGCAACGGCAGCACGACGACGATCTGCGCAAGATCAAGATTCTCGAGGCGCAGGTGCACAGTTTGCGCAAACGGTCAGGTGGAGCCAATACGTCGCCGAGCCGCGCATCGTCGAGCGCGCCGTCGGTCCCGGTGATTGCTGCACCAGCGCCGCCGCCCCCGGCACCACCGGTGGCCGAGATTGAGGAGCTGAAGACGGCGTTTGAGCGGCAGATTGAACAGTTGCGGCTGGTGCGTTTGTGTTCTTTTCACCCTGCAAACTTCGGTAGAGAAACTAATCCGCATTGCACTGAACGAGCAGGAACGCGACCAGCAGGCGGCGCAGGTGCAGGAGCTGGAGCACTACCGCATCAACAACAAGGAGCTGCGGCTCAAGCTGCGTGAGCTTATGCGGTCGGCCAAGAACGGCGCGAACGGGATTGCAGTCATGGACCACGGCGCGGCGTCCAACGTGGATACAGCACACGTAGCCGCGAGGCACGCGGGCACGTCGACACCGGCCATGACGTCGGTTTGATGGAACTGGTGGAGTGGATGGACTCGGCACTCCGACATGACACTGTATAGACGCACATTCGATTTTTTCCTTTATCGTCTGTTCTGCAAAACACAAGATTGCCTGCAATCTATTTCCGATAGGTATTGGTAAATGCTGCCCGCCCTACACCTTGAGCATCTCGTACACGGTCATGGAAATCACGACGCTCGGCACAACCCAGACGACGCGCGGAACAAGCCCACGCGTCGCCCCCTTCCACCAACCCTCCTCACGAGCCAGTTGGCGAATTACGGTCCACGCGCTCGGCCGCTTGTTGGACACCTGAACAATGGTGCGAACCCGGTCGAGTGGGTTTGAAATGGAGGCCGCAAGCGACCCGCTCACGCCCGCGCACATGAGGTACGCTGAAAACGGCAGCTTGGTGTCGGACGTGAGCGGACGGTCCAGGACGTGCGTCGAGTAGAGCGACTTGAGCTGCTCGTAGGAGAGGAAGTAGGTGACTTGTATGAAGAGGGTGAAGAAGGTCAGGATCGCGTGCAATTGCATTGGTGAACGATCGGAAAACGCACCTGAGTACGGCACAAAGACGCAAAGCGAAAGCCAGTACCCCTTTTGGAACCCGACGATCCCTCTCTGCTGGTAGATGCGGCGCGCAATCGCCAGTGCCGACAAGTCGCCGCTGGCCGCGCGAGGCAAGCTCGAATACGACTGCCGCTGGACGCCTGTTTCAAGCAGTGGCGCCGTCGCCGATGATCCGACCGAGGACATGGACGGGTGCCGTGACCTCGGCACCGCAAGCGGCGCGTCAATGTAGGTCTTGCCGTGGCCCATTTGCTGCCGGTTCTTGATCATCTCGAGCGGGGTCCAAAAGAGACCCGAAAGCATTTCGGCTACGATCGAGTACGGTCAGCGATACTTGTCCACTTCAACGCGAGTCAAGCGCGATCAAAATCGGTACCGAGAACAGCTGCGGTAAAATGCGCGACCGGCGACGTTTCCGCCACCTGCACGGGTCCGACCCCGGCAGCGAGCACGCGCTTGGTCTCATCGTAAGCGTACAGGTAGATGGATACGGCAGGGACGGAAAAGACCAGGGCCACGGGTAAACCGCTATTGAAGGCAAGCGGTCAGCAACCAAACACGTCATCATCTCGAGCCAGCGATGGCACGAACCGGTACAGCCCGCGCAGCCCCTCTGAGCGGAAGATGTCGAGCAGGGCCGTGCGCGCGCCGACGGGAGTCTCGCGCAGACCGGCATCGGCTTGGATCCGCGTCTGTGATTCAGATGTCGTCGAGATCAGCGATCCGCCTGTGACCGCGCAGACGCATTCTGGTCCAGGAGAGTACAAACTTTGACAGTGTCCATTGGGTGCGTCGTCATGCGCGCAGCGAGCGCCGCGACGCTCGATGCAATCAGGTTGACGGAGAAGAATTCGACCATGGCGGCAAGACTTGGCGTTTGAGCAAGTTGTCCGGCAGGAATTACAACTGCGCGACAGTGACACGTGTCGCTCTTGACAGAGAATGGTCGAGATCAGTTGTCGTTAGGGCCGGACGAGTCGTGGTTGGTCGGTTTGGTACTTCGGTGCGTTCTGGTTCGCGTTCGAAGACAGGTCGCGTTCGCAGAAATCGAGCGCAGCGAGGAACTGTTGGTCGGAGCAGCTCGACGCCAGGTTCGCTTGGGTCTGTTGTTGTTGACGTTCACCGCGTCGTCGTTGAAGCAATTTGGTGTTGCGGGGAGAGGGAGGTAGAGAAGCTGGGCAGGGTCAGCACAGCTCGGGGTGCGGCACACCGCGCCGACTTGGGGCAACGCGATCGGTGCATACGCGATGCCAGCCAGGTAAACGCTTCGCAAGCAATCGAAGACAGTCCATTCTCTCCAGCTCACCAAGCAACCTCAATCTGGCCGTTCCTTCTCCTCAGCTTTGCGCACGACTGACAGCAATATGATCATCGTGACAAGCCCGTATCGCCTGCGTTATTTCGCGACGCCGCAGCAAGGCGCGGCACCCGATTGGTGTCCCCACATCGTCGACTACGCGACCCAGTCGGTCGCGGACCTCGATCTCCCGCGACCACGACAACATTTTCGCGTATTCCGTATACGGGACGAGCATTTTGGCGGCTGTCGACTGCTTCCGTCCCTCGACCAGACGCATTTCCGGACTCGCATCACCTCCTGCCTGTCTGCAACTGGGTCAGGATCACGACCCACGCCAAAGCGCCGTATCCCATAGCACTTGACGTCACTGAAGGCGTGGAATCTATACGACAAGAGGAACGGTTTCAGCAGGGGCTATGGCGCAACGGTAGCGCGTCTGACTCCAGATCAGAAGGTTGGGAGTTCAAATCTCTCTGGCCTCACAATTTTTGTTTTCGATTGGCGTGCTGATTTGGAAGACTTTGTCGTACCGCCTTTTTGTCCCATTTTCAGTCCACAGGTGTCCGTCTACCTCTGGCAGATTTGTTGCTCTGTTTTGTTCGTTGCACGCCTCTCCGTCCTCTTCCCAAATGAAACAATACACATCGATCCACCCAGACTCGCGCATAAAAAAATTCTGTACATATCGCTTCACACCCGACCTCGCACCCAATTCAAAGACGCTTCAAGGCGCGACGGCCGGCACTGCACCTCCCGCCGCGCCATTCGCGCCGGCATTGAATACGACGTGCTTGATGACCTGGCTCATGAGCGCGTGTGTCGTCTCCGAGACAAGCTTGGTCGCGTCGCGCGCGGCCTTGCCAAGATGCGACGCGTCGGCGTCGTCGTCGCCCTTTTTGCCCGGCGACCCACCGGTCTGCTGCACTTGCGACTCGGCGCGGTCGAGTTTGGCGGCAATGTCCCCCATTTGGCCGACAAAGTAGTCCTTGTTCTACAGATTTCGCAAACACAGATCAGTGAACAGGCCCATGGCGTGCATCGAGACGCGCGAACGCGCCCAAACGTACCGACGTCAGCGGTGACTGCGCAAGCGTGTTGACCCAATGCTTGTTCCACAGCAAGTCCAACAACTGTGCATCGAGCCGCGACTTGAACAGCGACACGTCGAGCTGGTAATACTGGTTGGCATGCACACCGAAATCCTCAATTTTCGACAATGGAATCGACTGGTACTCGGATTTCGCCGCGTCGGGCGGCGTGTACCCCGCCGGGTACGTCCGAAACGCGCCAATCTCAACACGTCCCGCCGAGATTGTGCGGTTCGGGTCGACGACCACGGCCAAAAACGGTTCCTGGTACTGCTGGTTGGTCATTTGCGTGGAGACGTCGATCCCGGACAGCCAGCACCCGTAGCCCGGGTGCGAGTGGTACCAGCCCACCACGTTCTCGACGCGCGCCAGCGACTCGGAGGTCTGCTGGTACCGGACCATGAACTCGAACGCTTCTTGCTGCGCGTTGACGCGCGTCTCGGTGCCCTCGACGGGTAGCGCGAACGCGTCGAGCACGACCATCGTGTCGCCCATGACTTTGCCCTGCATCAGGCCCATGACTTCAAGGTGGCCCCCGCGACGCGCGTGCAGGACCATCTTGATCAACGCGATCGCGGACATTTTGACCTTCTTGAAGTACCGCGGGCTAAGGAGCGCGCGCAGTCGGTGTCAGTACTCAGGTCGTGTGCAAGGGCGCACGCCCATGGCGTGGACAGGATCGCGTACTCCTTGGTCCACGGGCGGCCCTCGGGCAGCGGCGTGCGCTCGTAGAGCTCGTCGGTCGGCTCGACGGTCTGGACATTGTTTTCGAGCAACCACGTCTTGAGCGCGTTTGACGCGTCAGTCGAAGAGGAGGCCATGGTTGGTGCTGGAGTGCGAGATTCGACGCGACTGAGCACGGTTGGCGGCGGCAAAGAGGTCGGCGGGCTGGCAGCACGTGGTCCGGGTGCACTGCAGGTACTTTTCGGAGCTTGCTGATGGTGTTGCCGTCGTCGTGGTCAGAAGGGTCGGCACCGTCGTGGTCGTGTAGAGTCGCGTCGCGTCGTTGCTGGATCGACCGGCGTGGTTGCGGAGCAGTGACTCGGATCCGCAACGACCGGAAGTCGTCACGTGTACTCCCAGCTGAGGAGTGTCACCAACTGCAGAATTGATGCGGAAGCACGTGGGCACCTCGGACTCGGGGGCAAGGTTTCGTGTTGACACTTGAGCGATCAAGTCGGCCTCTTGTCGGCCGACAGCACCTTCTCCATCGCCTGCTGGCCGATTACATTTCTCGACACCAACCAGCAACCGTCCTGCTCGCCAACTCGGCGCACATTGCTGCTGCACCACCGGCTATCGACCAGCTGCCTTCAACGCCGCTCCAGAACCGGCTCCAGCCCCTCCTCCACCATCAACCACCAATCAGTCAACGCAGCACCATGGGCACGACGCGTCTCGAAGTCTTCAAGGTCAGTCCAGTGCTCTCCACCCGGTTTTGCAGCCATAGGCCACTCGAGGATCCCGCTCTCGTCACTTGAGCTGACTATCGCCTCTTTGCTCTTGTCCAGTTCGGCATCTACGTCTTTGCGCCCATCTATGTCATGTACTTCACGGGCATCCCGTCCTATTTTGAGAAGGAGGTGGTGCCGCTGCGCACCAAGCTGTTCCGCCTGAACGACCCGACCTACGTACGGATTGACCGGATATGGATTGCTGAGTCCCGTTTTGCTGACGCGCTGAACGATTGCATGGCGTAGCAACCACCACAAGCGACCGAGGACATCCATGCGCACATGGACAAGTTGCGCGAGCGCAAGGCGGCCAAGGACGCGGCTGCGCACGAGTAGGCGGATCCGGGTCGGACAAGGCTGCGGCTCCGATTGCTGTTGCGGCTGCGGCAGATCATAGTGTATATACAAACCGATTTTATTTCTGTCTTGCGGGCCTGCCTCGTCGGTGTTGATGGCGCAGGTAGTCGTTGCTGTCATGGTTGTGGTCAGGTCGTGCAGCGGCTTCACGTGTTGGTAAAGGGCAAATTTTGGTGGCCAACCACCGCCGACACGACGGCACCATCGTCGACTACGACGACGCCGGCCCATCGCACGCCGGCTGCGTTCAGCACTCCCCGCACTCGCGCCGCGCCGCCGCGCGGACCTCTGCCGTTCAAGCTCGCAACCAACTCGCACAGCACCGCACCGATCCTCGACTTGCACTGATCCCAACCCACTCAAAGCATCATGGCCAGCTCCGCACGCACCAGCGCCGCCGCCTACGCGGGCGCGCCCCCCGTCCCACCCGTCCCGCCCGTTCCCGCGGCCTGGCTCGCGCAATACGCAGCCGCCAACACGGCGGCCCCCTCGGTGTCCTCGCCATCCCCCCGCCCGCTGGCGCTCACATCCGTCCCGGCCATCTCGCTCTCCCCCGCACTTGCATCCCTCGCGCACATGACCCCCGCGCGTGCATCAGCGCTCGCGGGCCGCGCGCCCGCATCCAGCATGTCGGCCAATGCGCAACCGCCGCCGGCGGCCGTCTCGGGGGCGCTGTACTATGCGCCGTACGCGGGGTTGGTCCTGGCGGCCCCCTCGCTCCCATCCCTCCCGCCGCTCCTGCGGTTGCCGCTACCCGGCGACGGCGCCGTGGTGACGGTCGGCCGATTAATCGAAAAACGGTCGTCGAACGTGCCCGCGCCCATGTACACGCTCGACGCCCCGTCGCCCACGACGCACCGCTTGCGACTCAAATCCAAAGTGATTTCACGGCACCACGCGCGGTTCTTTCGCGCGGCCGGCGCGCGGTACTTTGTCCAGGACACGCGCTCCAGTTCCGGCACGTTCCTGAACGGCCGCCGCCTTGCCGCAATCGGCGAGGATTCAGCCCCCGTCGAGGTCGCTGACGGGGACCTGTTGCAACTGGGCGAGGACTACGACCAGAACGGGGTCGTGCACGAGTGCCTCCGGTTCCGGATCGTGTTGCCGCCGTTACCTGCCGAGGGGGAAGCGGCTGCGCAACCAGTACCGCAGGGACCGGCGGACGCGTCGCCCGATGTCCCGCCGACGCAGACGCACCGGATCTTACCGACCGCATCGACGAATCCGACGCCGCAGGGGACGCCGGCACCAGCAGCTGTTGCCGCCGCCGCACCGAGACGCCGCGGGACCACGCGGTCGGTCGTCCCAGGCGCGCGGTCCGCGTCGATGCCGCCGCCGACCAACGTGGCGAACGGGTCGGAAATCGGGTCTGTGACGATCGTCAACGGCTCTGCCCCGCCGCCACCCGCGACCGAGCCCCCCGCGCCCGACCCAACTGCCCCCTCGGCGTCAGCCCTCGCTGCCGCCGAGACCGCGGCGATCTGGGCGCACTTGTTGCACGTTTCCACGATCCCGACCCCGGCGGCACCGCCACCGGCGCCTCTCGCTCCCGAGACGACGCCGACTCCGTCCCGGCCGCACCTCGGTGCGCCCACTGCGGATGATTGGGTCACGGCGGCGACGGCGCTAGTCGATGCGCCCGAGGCGTGGACCTCGGCGACGGCACGGGCGCGGGCGCATACGTTGGTCGTCGCGCGGGACCGGCGGGTCCGCGCGCTGGTTATGGGATTGAGCGGGGTCGTGCCGGATACGGCGGTCGCGACGGCGATTGCGCGGTTGACGGAGGATGAGAGGTGGCCTGGGGCCGAGACGGTTGCGGTGCCGGTGGAGGGTGGGGAGGGGGTGGAGAGAGTGGAGGATGGTGAGGAGAGGGAGGAGAATGGGCCGAAGAGGGCAGGAGGGGAGGGTGGGGACGGCGGGGGTGCGGGCAGTTAACGACGGTGGATGGTCGGTTTTGGTTCCGTTTATTTGGCCTGCCTGACATGGCTCCCGATTTTTGGCGATACCACCCCGTGTCCCTCGCTCGTCTATTCGATATCCCGTCCGCGTCAACGCTGTCTCTGTCGCGCGCACCGCCTCGTGTTGCGCGTCGCGCTCGTTTTTGCTTCGTGTTGGCGTGTAGTTGGTGTGGTCGAGCCGCTTTTGGAAATCATGGTCTCGTCCTCGCGCAAATACAATTTTGCTTGGCGTTTGACTTCAGCAATTCAACAATGGCCTCACTGGACCTGTCACGGGGACCTTAGCGAGTTTAGCGGGCCGCCTTTGGGGGCCCAAATCTATGATTTTTGGCCGTTTTGTGGCAGTTACGACGTAACGTTGCCTGGTTTCGCGTCTGGCACACTGATCCACTCCAGTGATCACGAACGCGCGTTCGTTTCACTCCAGCTCTCAAACCACTGTGTCTCTCCAATCACAACCAGCGTCGACATCGTCCAATCGACTTGACATGATAAATATATAAAAATTCTCTGGCCCGCCTTTGCGGCCCAATATCGCAAACCAAGCTGCACGCCAAACCTCCTCCCACTCCTCCTCCTCGCTCACCCAACCAACCGATTCACCATCAAATCCTGATCGACCACC